CGCCCTGAACCTTCCAGCTCCGCACGGGAGGATTGCAGCTGCGGGATGCAGGCGCAGTGGTGCGCGGAGCGGTTTTGCCCCGGGGTTCAGAGTAGAACTTTGGAGAACGTCTTTGCAAGTTAGACCGGAGGAGGGGGAGTCCCTGGGGTGGGGGCCCAACCACCTCTTGCGCCCAGGTAATGACAAGGTGGGAGGGACCCCAGGGACCGTGATGTTCCAAAGGACCCAAGCTTTCAAGAGCAGCAAGGTCCTGGGTCCTAGGCAACAGGCCCTTCCCACGCGTCCCGCTCCCGCCCCGGGCTTGTCCTCAGCCGCCCTCGACCTTTCATACTCGTGACTGCCTGGCCAGCGACGAGCGTGGCGGGATGCAGCAGGTGCTAGGGTGAAGCTCCTCCGGACGCCCTTCCTCTGGGATGCGCCCCTGGCCCCTGCATTGGGCAGGTGAAGAATTCAAAAATGACCAAGTTGCCCTCTTTTCTGGTTGGTTTTAGGCTTCTGACCTCCTGCAGTCTTTTGCCCCGGGCTGCACAGATCTTGGCTTCGGAGGGTGGTGTACCTCTCAGCAGATCCTTCATGGGCTTCACCGGCCCCTTCACCAACAAGCGAAAGGCTTACTCGGAGCGTAGGATCATGGGGTGAGCATCTTCCTGTCGGGCACCCCTCCCCTACAACCAAGCTAAAACATCGGGCAGCGTTAGTGAGCAGGATTGATCCCTGACCACTCATTTTCCAGCTCTATCCTTTCAGCCATCCACTCCTTATTAATTCCCTCTTCTTAGTTGCTATGTATCTGTATGAAATGAAACGTAACTAAAGTTGAAATTTAAAAAAAAGCTAACTTGATTCTGACTTTGAGGGACCCTATAGAACTGCCCGGTTGAGTTTCCAAAGTCATGAAATCTTGATGGGAACACACAGCCACATTTTTCTCCCAATGCCAGTGGGCTCGAACTTAGGGAGTTTCCCAGTATCAGCCATGCACATGTCGGAGTCGGATTACAGTGTAGGATTTCTCTGGCGACCCAGCTTCATGTGGCTCTTGAGCACTATATTGAACACTTGCTGTTTGCTAGAAGCCTGGCGTTTTAGGCAGATCTTTTAATCCTCCCAATAAACCAATGATCAGGAGGTTCTATTACCTTCACTTTGTAGACGAGGAAATGGAGACACCAATAGATTCCCTCAGGTCACACTGTTAGAGAGCTGAGATCTGAGCTTTTATGATCACAGCCTCTGTTCTCCCCATAGTCCCTCTTCAGATCAAAATGAATGCAGCAGTCTGTGAACGAGTGCACAGAAACTCAAAAACCCACTGCTGAGTCAATTCTGACTCCTACCGACCACATGAAGCCAGGGCGGAACTGAGTTTCTGAGACTCTTTACAGAAGAAAGCCTCATCCTTCTCCAAGGAGCATCTGGTGGTTTCAAACCGTTGACGTTGTGGTTAGCAGCCCAATGTGTAACCACCACGCCACACGGTGATATTAAGATTGCTCGTTTGGTACCTGTAGCTCCGTAGTTGTGTGGTTCATTGGACAGGGTATGGGGCAATGTCGTGACCTCTGTGATTCCCTCTCCTCTAGCTACTCCATGCAGGAAATGTTCGAGGTGGTGTCCAATGTCCAGGAGTATCGAGAGTTTGTCCCCTGGTGTAAAAAGTCTTTGGTGGTATCCAGCCGTAAGGGGCACCTGAAGGCTCAACTGGAGGTTGGCTTCCCACCTATCTTGGAACGTTATACCTCATCAGTTTCTATGGTAAAACCCCACATGGTCAAGGTAAGGCCTCTCAGGGAGGATAACGTTTGTGTGCTGTCTAGCATTGCTCTCATTGAAGGGCTATTGTGTGTCAATTGCCTCAGTATTAGAAGGCAGCAATATGTATATGTATACACACATGTATCTACCCCCTCTCTTCACTTCCTATACTTAGCATAAGGTCACTGGGTGGCATTAAATGGTTTGTGCTGGCCTACTAACCTAACAGTTGGCAGCTGAAACCCACACTGTGGTGCTGTCTAACATCCAGTGATCTGCTTCCGTGAAGATTATGGACAAGAGATCCTTATGGAGCACAACACCTGGGGTAGCCATGAGTTGGCACTGACAAGGGTTTTAAAAATATACTTAGTATAAAAATATACTTTATTCCATTGTAACCTATTCCAGGCTGTTTGCACTGATGGCAAACTCTTCAACCACTTAGAGACCATTTGGCGATTCAGCCCGGGAATTCCTGCATACCCCCGAACTTGCACTGTGGACTTTTCGGTGAGTCAGCAGACTGTGTAGCAAAGGGCTTGGGTTGGGTGTGGGGGCGGAGCTGAAGTTCTGATGGGGTGTTCTTCCTTAAGCATAGCTAGGACTTAGTCCCCGATAGCAAGTTCCCACAAATCTCTGAGCTTGTCTCCAGCTCGCCCTGTGCTTAGCCCTAAATTGGGCTTTTGAGAGTACCTGAGGGACCTGGAAGGGAGGGGATGGATAGGCCTGAGGAATAGCATCCTTGCGTTTGCGATTGCCCACAATGTCTTGAAGAACCTCTATCTCTTACCATTCCCAGATTTCCTTTGAATTTCGTTCTCTGCTGCACTCCCAGCTGGCCACCATGTTTTTTGATGAGGTTGTCAAAAAGAATGTTGCTGCCTTCGAGCGCCGGGCAGCCACCAAGTTTGGTCCAGAGACAGCCATCCCCCGTGAAATGATGCTTCATGAGGTGCACCACACTTGAGGCAAAGGGTTGTTCCTTTACTTCTTGATGTCCCCTCCCCATTCAGTTCTCTTATTTATTTGGTTTAGTTCTGCTGCAGCCTGAGAGAGGAGTCTTCAGTTCATAGCACCGCTCCTTTCTTGTCAAATGCCCAGAATCTGAGCTCTGGCTGGGAATGGTGGGGAAACGAAAAGGCAGTGGGTATGGAATGGGGACATGTCTAAAATCAGGACTCCACGGTTGTCTCTGGGCCCTGTCACGGTGCCTTAGTGGCTCATCAGTTAGGTGACAACTGTTCAAAAGGACCGAATAAGCAGAGCTATTCCCCCTTTCTTTGGCACAGGTGTTGGGTGGTATATGACCTTTGCCCTGCCTTAGAGTCGATTAAAAGGCAACCTGCCCCCATAGCTTAAATGTCATGTAACTTAACTTTGAAGATTATGTGCATGCCATCTGGCTGGTGAAGTGTACGGAACTTGCCATCAGTGCCACAGGCCCAGGAAGGAAAAAGTACTGAAGAGGTCCCTTTGTACTCTTGGGTTGTGCCTGATTCTTCCAGTTGGCCTGAGTTTTTATAAGATTTCAATAAATCATGATAGTGTGAGCTTTGCTTTCTTGTACTGCTTCTTAGGAAATATTGTATATACGAACTGGACAGTCATGGATTCCTTCCCCAGGGGAGTGAACGTACAGCAAGTTTGGACATCATGTCCCTGCTAACTATAGTAGCACAATCTACAAGCCAGGCCTGAGGACCTTCCCCCTTGCCTATTTATAGACATTTCAGAAGGTCAATTACAGCAGGAGCCTCAGGACAGAAGCACTTGGTGTCAGGCCTCCCATGTATCCAATGCCCGATGGAGCACCACCTGATACTGGGGGCAAGGTGGGATGCATGCTTCTTAAAGGAGGATGTAGAAGAGTAGCCACACCATGAAATAAGGAAGCCCTCTAGTGGCCCACATCCGGAGCCAGCAGTCCCATTCTGTCCTCCGTACAGTTTGTTCCTTTCACCCAGTCGGCTGAACCGGTGTTCTTGGATTAGTCGCATAAGCAGTAGTGAGGTTTCAGGCATATTCTTTCTGCCCTATGGCAAAATTAAGAAGGATAGTACAGCAGCTAAAGTTCAAGGATTCCCAAACCTTAAAAAAACAAAGTCTCCTTTGGCAATCCAGGGAGCCCAGCCTATGATTAGGACGAACTGGATGAACTAACCTCAAAACAGACTCTCCCAGGCCTTATTTAATAGCATGTTCACAAATTGTTAATAAAAACATTTATTTTGCATTTTATACAGAACAACCTGAAGTCTGCAACAGGACAGTTACCCGGGGGTTTACAGACAGTGTGTCCATCTCAACAGCATGTTTCTGGGAACTGGGGACCCATACAAACACAGGCAGGAGTGGGAGGGAGGAAGGGGACACGGCAGGAGTGTATATCAGTCCTTTCTGAGAGAAAAGACAGTACAGCATTCTGAGTCACGGAACACCTGTGTCAATGGGGTTTCTAAAAGGAACACTCTGAGCTCTGAAGGCAGAGGCAGGAAAAAGGACCTTGATAAATAAGATGGTAAGTTCTTGTGGCAAGGGATGAGAGGGAGGCTTATTATTTTTCACGGTCTCAGATCCAAGAGCTGTAATTCAGAGGGAACCATGTCCAATTCCCTGCTCAAAAAGAGGTGACAGTTGCCCAGGCCAGGTCATGAAGACAGGACACTAGTCATTCCCAAGTCCCTGCTCTCTGCCCCATGGCACATTAGAAGGTGGCATATGTTCCAGAACTGATGGACCACAGTAAGCACTGATAGTCAAATGACTGGAGACACCACAGGTCTGACAGTGGCATATAACCTGCTGATAGGGGTGTCTAGAAGGGACCAAGAGGGGATGG